AGTGTGCTCGGCACACTTCTCCACAGGCATATGATGAAGGCAGGATGGCCATGTATGCAATGCTGTAGATGGCATTTGCGTTCCCTGTGAGAGGGGTTCTTAGGTTGGGGTTCATAAATACTTTGAAAATTGATGTGAAATGTATCAAAATGCACATTTTTGGCAATAAGGCTTTCATCAGAGTTCAGTGGAGTCCATGATCCAGAAAGAGTCTGTCTTTCAGGCAGGCCTTAGAGGCTGGTTTTAAGCTATAAAACCCAAAGAATCTTATACTTCAGATTTCTGAGGAAAAACTGTAATGTAACATCCTAAAGTATACTTGTATTAAGCAAAAGTGGAGACACTTATGCAAGTGAATATTTCAAATTGTAACTTGAAATAATCAGATAGCTATGGCAAAGGAAATGAAATGGGGCTTATGGTTGAATTATCTATCTCAACGTCATAATCTTCTACTTCCCATTATGCACATAGAAAACCCCACTGCTTAAAGAAAAAGAAAAATGAGTTTCCTGAGTTTCTTTGAATTATTTAACTTAAAAATATATGTCTGATAAAGTTTTTTTTTAAACTACTGGTGAAATATGCCAACATTAGCAACTATATTTTAAATAAAAAGACAACAAAGAAAACATTTGTTAGTTTTAAACAGCAAGGTATGTATAATCTTAAAATGGGTAAAAAGTGCAGATGTAATTTTTCTCTTTGCTTTCAAAGAAGATCTGCTGAATTTCAAGTATTTTCTTTGAATAATCATGTTTGACAGATATAAAGGTTAATGTTGGCGAGGTAATTAAAATTAATGATGACAATGCCCAGTGGCCTGTGTCTACACAGGTGTTTCCCTCCACTCTTTCCTCCCCAACATAAAAACGTTTGCTACACAAATTCTGAGCTTACATATAACACATCATTTTCTAGACCCACAGAATTTCTTCTAAGACCCTCAGAATTTATTTCCATAATGAATTCTTACGGGTTTTTGACATGTACTTTGATTTTTAAAAATGTTTTAGGCTATTCAAAATTTTTAAAATATACTTATTGCATAAAATGAACAGATACTATTAGAGACCAGGTTTCTAATCCTTTGTAGCATACTTGTGAAATCAAAACTTGCCCAAAAGGTCTTTCAATGTTACTCTACATCAAGCCAAGTTATTTACTACCCAGAACCATATTCAACATTTATTACTTTGACAATTAGTAGAATATTTTCTATCTATCCATCCTCCATCCATCCTCCCATCCATCTACTTACCCATTCATTTATCTTTAATTTTTAAAAGTTAAAAAATGTATTAGTACATGTTTGCAGTATACAATGATTACATTCATCATTGTGAGTTAGTACATGTAAATAACATCTTAATTTTTTTACTGGCCCTTTCCCTCTGCTCCCTCCTTTTCCTTCCATGCCTTTGTTCCATTCTCATTTGCAGATCTATCTCGTTTCCTAATTTTGCCCTTTGAATTATTAAAATTTTTTTGTGTGTGTGTGGTACCAGGGATCAAACTTAGGACCTTGCACTTGCAATGCAGATAACAGCACCACTGAGCTAAGTTCCTGGCCCCTCTTTGAATTATTTACACTTTGGGTTTCTCATATAAGAGAAACATGCAATATTTAAGCTTGAGTGTCTGACTTATTTCACTTAACATTGCAAATCTGTTCACTAGACAATCAGCAGATAGACATTAAGGAAAGAAACAATGACAAAATACAGCATATATTCTACTAACATGCCATATATAATGGATACTTGTAATAATGACATTGAGACATCACAACTTAACTAACATATTTGACACATATTAACTGTATTCTCCAAAGATGATCACAAAAATGACTTCTGACTACACGCTCTTCTGTGATGTGACCTTGTCACTTCCTCATCCTGAGGTGGAGTATAAGCCCCTATTTTAGTTATTTTTCTCTTTGCTGTTGCTGAGACAACACACTCGACACTCAAAGTTAAAGGAGGAAAGGTTTATTTGGGCTCACAGTTTGTAGAGATTTCAGTCCATAGTCAGTTGGCTCCAAGGCAGGGTAGCATGGCAGAGGCTATCACAGAGGAGAAACAGTTCATGGCAAAGCAGGCCAGGGACAAGATAGCCAGCAGTGAAGTAGCAAACAGCAAGTAACAAGCAGGAAGTGACAAGTGGCAACAGCAGCCCTCTTTCTGTCCCTTATATTCTATCCAGGCTACCTGCCCTTAGTGTGGGCAGCACTCACACCCAGGGTGGGCCACCTTAGTCCTAGCATCACACCACGAATCAGCATCACATCCTTAGCCCCAGCATCACACACTCTACATCCACCCACCTCCCAAAATTCCGACCCATGACCATGTGAGGCTTTGGGGGGACATCTCTATGCAAGACGTAACAGCCTCTTTCTGTTGAATGATCACAAGAACATGTTGCAAGGGAGGCTGGGTGACCTCTGAGGTTGTTATAAACATGATATAGCCTCTATCTTGCTCACTTAAATATCTGTGCTGACGCTTAACCACCACATAATAAGTTTAACTACCTCATGGCCTTCTTGCTAGAGAGGCCATAGATACTTTGGGGCTGCAGTTTGTATCCCACTCTGATCTCTCATTTGGAAGTCCCACCTAGGAGAGACATCAGATGACTGAAATCTCAGAAGACACCTGACTGTTACCAGTGAGTTTCCTAAGAAGAACTTGCTTAGTCAACCTCACTTAACCAACAGGACCATACAGAGATAATATTAATTTTTTTTTAGCCATTATGTTTTGGGGTTTTTGTTATACAGCAATGGTAGAATAGCTAATAAAAAGTTAGTGTTATGTATGAAGTTACAATTTAAAATATGTTTTGTGCTAGGAAATGTGGTAGTGGCAGTTGCTTTATATAAATTATATTATTTAGTCTTCATAACAAATTTTGAGTGGTAATTATGTATTTTTATGCAATAGAAAAAGATATTTAAAATTACTTTAAAAAGTTCTCTTCAAAGTTTTTTATGGAAGTTATTTCTTATATGAATATACTGTCTTATTGACTCAAGTATAATTACATTTCGTTAAAAAATAGTTATCTTCAGAACATTATATTATCTTTAATTGACTACTTTTTTTATCTCTGTCTAAAATATCCCTATTATTTAGCTCTTCCTCTTCACAGACCATTATTAGGTGATTCTTATTCATTATTCATTATTTAGAAGAGAAGATCAACATCAGAGGCTCTCAGTATGTCATTACACCCAGGAACTTTTTTGGAAGTTTGTGAGGCATTATCTATTGTCACAGTGTTTGGGAGTATCTTGGGGATTTAGAGGAACAGGAAGGCTAACCATCCTATTACAAAATGCACTGGATAGGTCCTGTGCAACAAAGATATATTCTACATCCTTGTATTAGTAAGATTTCCCATTGGTGGGGTCGAATGCCCAACACTCACAAATTAAAGGAGGGGAGGTTTAATTTGGCATATGGATTCAGAGGATTCAGTCCACAGTCATTGGAAGCAGATACATCACTGTGGAAGGGTTTGGCAGAGAGTCAAGCTCCTTAATTCACGATGCCCAAGCAGAGCAGGGGATCAGTGCCAGAGACAAAGAGACTAGGGACCATATATAGTACTGCAAATCATGTACACATGAGACACCCAGACACACCCAGAAGTGTGCTTCCCCTCGGTGGTTCCTGTGCCCAATCAAATTCACACAGTTAACTGTCACATGTCTATGTGATTCATGTTGTTAAAAAACGTCTGTCTGGTTACTTGAGGCTGGAATATAACCTTACTTTCAGATAAACTCCAAATATTCTTTGCATGCTTCTAATATACAATAACTTTTTCAGGCTTGTAACTACTAGGTAAATTGATAGAAGATTGTATTTTCTTTTATTCAGAATTTACCAAGAGTTGTTCGCCATTATGGACAAACATAATACTGGTGGCAATGTGCTTACACTACTTAAATTGAAATTACAATGTTCCTTCATCAGTCTACAATCATATTTGTGGGGATTGTATGTGTAGGTGCAAGCATCTGAGATACTATATCTTCCAGTATAGCTGTACTAAAAATTTACCTATTGAAATATATATTGTTTTATTATAAAGCACCTTCCTCTAATTTTTTCTCTATAATACGGTTAGGACATGTTATTGATCTTTTATAAATAATGGATATAGGTGGGAAAATTGCCTATAATTTTTACTGGAGGAAAATAAAGGGTATGTTAGTGGTTATAAAAAGGGAGTTGAAATACACTAAGAGGCAAAAGTATTGGGAGACAGGAGAAGGGAAAGATGGAAATGTCTAATTACTTCAGTTTTCCCCAAGGATTTCTGTCTGTTGAGATGCAGGAAGTTACTTAGAGCAGTATTCTGCTTCTCTTTCTAATCTAATGCTGATTCTAGGGGTATGTAGTGACAGAACATATACAGTTCCTAAAAGATGTATTCTCTTGGCCCTAGATGAGGAGTAAATGACTGAGCCAGCAGCTCTGAAGACGAAGGACCCGGTTCAGCTCTTCCACAGCACTTTCATTAATAACTGCATTGACTGTCCAGAACCTTTTCCGGGTCTTCCCTGTGATCCTGCAGCCACCACCCAAAATGGGTCTACTTAACACACCCGTTCCAGCCATCTGTCTTTCACCTGACTCAGGCTCTTTTGCTCTGGTTGGTTGTACCTTCATTCTTGTTTCATCTGTTTGGGATTATTTTAAAATTCCTCAGTGTTGATTCTTCCCTTCCAGTTTTTCAGCATTGCTATGGATTTATTCTTATATTTATCCCATCTCAATCAGGTGTCTTCAGTTAGAAGACATTTAAGCACTAAGAATAAATCAAATATTCCTCTTTTACATTGGTGCATTGAGATTTTGATTAGTTATCAATTTGACTTTAGGCAAACCAACATATTTAATGAGATTAAATTGGGAGACTTGAAATCTTCTTTTGTTTTGTTGAGTGAATTATGGAAAAAAGGGGAAAAAACCAAGAGAACTTACAATCCATATCAAGTACGGCACGAACAGACTTAATGAGCTCCTTAGATTCCAGTGCCAGGGTTGCTGGGATGTTTCGTCCGTTTCTTCCCAGTGGTGTGAGGGAAGTCTGAGAAGCTAGCATGGCTCTTCTTTCGCTATGTGGGCAATGGAACAAACTTGAAAGTAGTATATAACAAACAATATCTGTCTTTGCTAAATCTGAATTTGTATTCATCATAAATTTGTATACAATTTTTCTGTTTCTAGGAAAAGTACATTCTTATAGCCATCCATGAAGTAATTTACACAAAGTAGTACTTCTGTTTTTAATTCTTTATTATAAAATAGATAGGAATATTTTTAATATTAAGTTGACTTTCATATATAGGGAGAAAGTAAGCAAAGGATGGCCTCTCTCCAAAAGCATTTCTTGGGCCTATTTTGTGAACGTGTTTGTGTGTTTTGCTAACATGGTATCCCGTTTTTTGTTCTGTTTTGTAAAAATTCAATTTAAGTATATAAATATAAATTTACTAAAGAGATATTTATTATTACTTGCAGTAATAGTAAATATAAATTATATAAATTTAATGTATACATTTATTCCTGAAATTCTCTTAAACTCTTCCATTTGTTATCAACTCTAAAACAGCCTACAATACTTATGTCACTTAAAAAAAAGTCAAATATCATCTGAAATGAATACATTCTGATATAATTAAAAATACAAGATTGTCCCTAAAAAGCCATCATATTAAACTTTATACTTGAAAAGAAGAGACAAGTTTACAGTATTATAAGACCCATCAATTACAGTCCACTGTCTTAAGCATAACCATACTAACTTACAAGGAGAAAAACTGAAGAATCAATTCTCAAATTAAAAGACGTAGACTCAACTCCAGTATTTGCACAGAAGATATAGTACATTAAAAAGCCTGAACCAGATTTTGCTGGTGTTTAACTTTCTAAGATGTGGTGAAAAGCTGCTTAACGTAGCTTTTTAAAATTGCTTTTTCCCCAACAGGTAGTTTAGAGCAAGAGCAGCCCCAGGCTTTAAATGGTTTCCTTAATTTTGATTTGTACTGATTTAGTATCAAATTTCTTTTAATTAGGCAGGGTAAAACAAAAATTTGGAGAGTGGTGATGGGGGACACACTTAACTCATGCAAGAGGAATCTGAGTATTTTGAGATCCCTACTGAAAATAATAATTATGGACTTCATATAATTATATCATAAGCAGAATGAATAACAACAGTCAGATTCCATCATTATAAGAAATGAAACATTACACTAAAATGAACTTAAAAGTGACAACTGTAGACATTATTCTAATTTTTTAAAAAAAGCTACATGCGAAAAAAAAAGCTCAGGTATTTTCATTTGTTTTCTTTAAAATATTGTGTTCATACTAAGGGGTACAGTTTTCCTTTGTTTCTGCAAATCATACTGCTAGAACAAGACATTTAGAACCAGTTGCAGTTATTACAAGACGAGTGTGAAAACTACTTCTAAAATGCACAAACAGGAATGTCTCAGTTGTATCTGTCTTTCTTCATGTATCAGAATGACCATAAATTTGTGCTTTGGAATAAACATGATTTGTGTATGTGTAGTTCTGAGTAAGAAACTAGAAATCTGAACCATTATGACTAATAGGGAAGTCAAGGTGTATCCTCCAAACATATTTCCTTCATTTATATATCTACCAAATTATGAAAATGAAAGAAGTTGATTGCATCAAGGTGTTTTTACAAAATTCTGTTTGACAAAATAACTAATCTCCTGGGTGGAGGCTGACCCTTAGCAGGACACCTTTGATCACTAACAGTTATTCACGCACAGGATGCGTCAAGAACTTCAAGCTAATCTCATCTTTACAGACTTCTTGACAAGGCCCGATAAGTGATTTCTATGTCAATTTCAGAAAACAAGTTTACAGTGATTGGGTAACTATTTCTAGAAATTTGTTTTACAGAGATATGATCGAAACCAATAGGTCCTTGTACTTATTTTCAAGACAGTAGCGAATGGTATTGAATAGTACTTATGTAACATCTTAAGACCATTTAAGAGATTTTTCAGTATACTGGTCACAATTTCTGGGGGACTAATTTAATTAGTGGACATACACTGCAGAAAGTATTTAAATATTCTTACCTGAAATTTGATAAAGCGGAAGAATTATCAGAAAATACTTCTTGAATAGTCTAGCAACAAATAAGATGGAGGAGACAAGTAAGTTTGACACTTAAAAAAAAAGTCTTTTCTTGTATGCATAATTAATATTTACAAAGTCCCTCTCTGCTGAGTAAACAGATGTTTCTGTTATTCGGGAGAATAAATTGTATTAACATGCAGTTTTACTCAGAAATATAATAGCTATAAAACATAAGGCTATAAGGTTAGTATTTATGAAATCATGCTTACATAGTATCATACTTTTAGGAAAGTACTCATTAAAACACAGTATATACTGGGGATCATGTTACTCTGTCTGAATCATTTCTCTTAACAATCTATAGAATGTTAGCCAGTCTTTTCATTATCAAGGCAAGTCTAAATCTGACTACAAGTCAGCATTGCTGTTTCGAGACCAGAAAATATACCTATGCCACCAAACACTGCAATATTTATCTGCATCAGTTGCTTGTATATTTCTTAAAAATGGATAATATACTACATAGTCATCCCTCCCTTAGTTTTTGTAGGGAATTGGTTTCAGTTCCCCCAGAATAATAAAATCACAGATACTTAAGTGGCTTATAAAAAATTGGGATATCACATCTGCAAATAAGCTATGTACATTCCCTTGTGAACTTGAAATCACCTCTAGATTAGGTAAATAGCTGTTATACTCTACCTTTACCCAATTACCACAAGAAAAAAACATCTGTACATGTTCAGTACAGAAGAAACCATTGTATGCCTAACTATTTAGCATACAAATGAAGGATGTTCAAACAATAAGTGCTGGAGAATCTCTGAGAATTTGTGGAAGGGTGGGAGGCTACCTATTCACTTAATTTGTGTGGATTGTGTAGTGCTTGGTGGGTGATAAACTCAAATTTTCCTTTTTAGAACTTTTTGAATTTTGGGGTTTTTTTTTTGTATAGGGGATTGAACCCAAAGCCTTTACACTGAGCGACCTTCTCAGCCTTTTAGGTTTTTGAGACAGGGTCTTGCTAAATTGTTAAGTTGCTCAGGAGGGCTCAAACTTGTGACCCTCTTGCCTCTGCCCCCCAAAGTGCTAGGATTACAGGTGTGCAATACCATACCTGGCTACTTTCTGGAATTTTTTGGTTCCTGAATATTTTGGATATGGGGTGGGTTGAATTCACAGATGTGGAACCCAAAGAGAAAGGGGTGGGGGTCAAATGTGACAGAAAAACTTACCTCTACGAAATGAAGAAGCTTTTCAGTGGATGCCTCAAAGGTTTTTCGAGCCATTTCTGATTTCCGCAATTGACAGTCAAGTACTGTGATTCTTTTTCTTAAATCCTGAACACTTTCCTAGAATGAGATATCAAAGGTACCATCTTATGCATATCTTTGATTTTACATTATGGTTTCCTATTTTCAGTTTTCACAAGTTTATATTGAATATTACCACTTCATTTATTTTCTCTCTTACTACACATATCTTCTGATTTTGTCTGTGGGATACACTGCATATTTAGAAGTTAATCTGTACAAGGATACTGCAAGTTTTATGAGACATGCTGCATATGACTATTAGCAGATGCTGATAGAATCCCTTACCAGTGTCACACAAGTGAAAACTGGACACACACACACACACACACACACACACACACACAATATAATACAATACAACATAAGGCTGAGCTAGTAGGGAAGTAAAGGAATTCCATTGAGACAAAGGGTAGCAATGTAGAGAGAACCACTGGGGTGCGAGAGTACTGAAGCATAATTTGCTCTGAGGATGATGGCCATCCCTGGTGGCCTGCAGTTTAGAGTTTCATCAGGCACAAAGAACAAGAGGGAGAACTTTAATGGGTGAACTAGGAGGAAACAATTTTCACAGAAGTAAGTAGTGGTTTGATTTGGGCTCTGGTGAGTGAGAAAAATAAATCTCTCCTGAATAATTCCTAACCATCAGCCTGTACTCACGCAGATTTGGGACCTGAATTTATATCACCTGGGGGGCCCTAAAAATTCATGATCTAAAAATTTAGTTTAAATTAGTCCCAGATTAGTAAAAACAAAAACAAAATTCCTCTGGAGTGCTGTTTTCTAAACTCAGATCTCAAAGAATCCCCAAATATAATGTCAATAGAACATGATGACCTCACAATAAAAAAAAAAAAATCACTAAACATACGAAGAAATAAGCTCCACGAATGAAAGTTAGCTAAAAGAAACACACTAGGTTGTGCCATGCATGGGGATACCCAATGTAATCCCAGCACTTTGGTAGGCTGAGGCAGGAGAAATTGCAAGTTTGAGCCTGGCCTGGGGAACTTAGTCACTTAGTGAGACCTCATCTTAAAAAAGGAAAAAAGAAAAGAAAGAAAATGGCTGGGATGTAGTTCATTGTGAAGGCCTGGGTTCAATTCTCAGTACTATAAAAAATCAAAACCAAAACCACCACAACAAAAACACTACAGGATCAGAGCTACGAGGACAGCAGATATTAGAGTGATCAAATATACAATATAGAGTAATTATGTTTAATATTGTTATGGCTTGTATATAGATGCCCCCCTCCCCCAAGCCTCATACACTCATAGGTGTAGCTTTTGGGAGGTGGCTGGATCATAAGTGTGGGATGCTGAATGACAGTGTGTGATTCTGGGATTAAGGCTGTGTGATAACTAAATTGGTCTAGCATAGTTCTGTGTATGGATAATGGAAGGCCCACCCTACGTGGGTGGTACCAATCAACAGGCTTGTATCCTGGATGGACTACAAAGGGAAAGATGGAAGGCAGGCTGCCTGCTGCCTCCTGCCTGGCCTGCAATGAACTATTTTTCCTCTGCCATGGTGCCCTGCCTTAGAGCCAGCTATGACTGAAAACCCTACAAACTGTGAGCTGAAATAAATCTTTCCTCTTTTAACTTGTGAGTGTTGGGTATTTTGTCTTAGCAATAAGAAAAGTAATATAAATATGTTTAAAAAATTAAGAAGGAATTACAAGTGTAATAAAGGGAAAGACAGCTATCCAAATGAATCCAGATGACAAAAATGAATGGAAAAAATAAAAATGTGGTCATGATTAAATTTATTATTTTTAATAGCGAAACATTTATTGGTACATTTTAGGCATACATAATAACACTCATCATAAGGAACTTGCACTTGTACATGGTATATCCTGGCTCTTTTTTCCCAGTCCCTTCCTTTCCTCCCCTCAAGCTTGATTTATGGGTTTAACATTCAATTAGATACAGCTGAAAATAGAATGAGTAAACTGGAAACAAAGGTAAAGAAACTTCTTATAGCTGAATAGAAAGACAAAAATTGAAATATGAACAAAGGAGGAGATGTCAGGAGAAAACAGCTAGAAGACCTATTATATATATAATCTGAGTTACACATGTGTAACTAGAATGAAACAGAATAGCAGCCTAGGTTTTTCTAGAAACAGAAAAAGACACTGTTCCTCAGACCAAGAAACACAAGGAATCTCTAACAGTATAAATTAAAACAAATGAACACATGACTCATTGTGGAAAAATGCTAAATATCAAAGCCAAAGAGATCTTAAAATTAACTAGAAGAGATTGCAAACAAAGGACAAACTGACAGCTGACATCACAGCCATGAAATAAAAACAATGAAAGAATTTAAACATCAACTTAACATTCTCTATGTAGCCAAAATATATTTCAAGAATAATAGCTGTATTAAGATGTTTTACAGATAAAAGGAGAATTTATCAATGGATCGTCACTATATGAATTTCTAAATGATGTGCTTCAGGAAGGAAATGATCCTAGCAAGAAAGTCTGAGATTTAAGGAAGAATGTTGAACACAGAGAATGGTAAACATAGAGTGAATCTAAATAAATTTTGCCTGGGGAATTTAGTGACTTACTGAAACCCTGTCTTGAAATTTAAAAAAAGTAAATAAAATAAATAAAAATGGCTTGGAATATTTGCTTGGTGCAAAAAGTCACGGCCTTGGGCCGGGGATTTAGCTCAGTGGTTTCGCCGCCTGCTGCGCAACAGCAAGGACTCAAATTCGAAACCTGGTATCAAAAAAAAAAAAGTCATGGGCTCAACTCTCAGGATCACCACCAAAACCCAAACCCAAACCAAAATAAAACAAAAAGTAATAATGTAAAAAGTCAAGATAAGTAAAACATTAACAAGAAAAGATTTTCAGTAAGTAGGGATGATTACGTGTATATTCTAAAGTACTTACAATATTTAGAAGGTGGAAAGCTACTGATTAGTTTTACAACTTTAAATGTTAAAATTTCTAGGATAATCATTAAGAAATAGAAGTTCTAAACCAGAACAGAGAAATGTGTGTAATTAGGCAGCAGGACACAGGAGAAACCTGAATCCATTAAAAAAAGCAATAAATAAAATAGGATATATGAGGCATATAAAATGTACAAAATGAGAGGGCAGAAATGAAGCTAGATGCTTTAATAAATAAAAGAGTATAAATAGATCCTTCTGATTACCAATTAAAGCTTAATAAATGGTGAGAAAAGTCCACCTATGTGTTGTTTACCATACATATAATTAAAATATAAGGACACTGAAAAGTTCAAATGGATAAAAATCACATAGGATGAAAACACCAACCAAAAGAAAGTTGTGTTACTATTTGAAATCAATCAAAAACAGGAAGTAAAGGGAAAAGAAGATTGCTAAGTAGAAGAGTCATGACATTTTCATAAAAGATGATGACATAATTTCAAGCCTGAATTCATCTAAAAACATTACTTCAAAATGCATAAAGAAAAATTTTAAAAAGAAACCAGAATTTTTTAAAGATAGCAACCAATGGCTCAAGCAGACAAAAAAATCAATATAGAGAAGGAATAACTCCCTAATGCCCTTTCTAGTGGAGTATACAGAACAAGAATATCCAACAACTTCAGAATTCTTTTCTAGCTCAATTAGAGCTTCTGTGATCATTAAGTAGTAAGCCATGAAGCAAACATCAACAAATTTTGAGGAGTGGTTACTCTGTAAACTGTATTCTCTGGCCACAATGCAAGTAGTCTTTCTGTACCTCGATGGTGTTCATAAGTAAAGATAATCATAAATATGTAAGTTCTTGCCAAATTAACTGATATAGTTAATGAAATTTCAGTAAGAAGTCCAATTTTTTTCTTTTTGGTGGGCTTAATAAGTCTAAAATAGATAAAAGAAGAAAAGGTCATATAGTCAGTACACTTTCAAAGAAAAAGAACGAAGCAGTATGACTAGATATCAAGATTCATTTTACAAGATATAGTAAATAACATACTGTGTTTTTCACAGAGGAATACATATATAGATCACTGAAAGAACAGGGATCCATATACATATGAAACCTTGATATAGGATACAGCTGGTTTGCAGCTCAACTAGGAAAGGAGGAACTTGTCAATAGATGGTGGTCGGACAGTTATTCATTTGGAATAAAGAAATAATGAAAAAAGGTATCTCCTCTTTATGCAGTGCCATAAAATCAATTATGGACAGATTGAAAATTTAAAAATTTTGGCGCAAAAATAAAAGAAATTCTCTACATCTCTGGAGATAAGAACCTTTAAAATTTTCCACACAAGGGAAATAATGTTTTACTGTATAAAAATTAAGAACTCTTGTCCATTTCAGCACAGATTGAAAATGCAAGACACACATTTGGAAGAGTAATTGTGTGACATATAACCTAATAAGGGATTGATAAGTAACAAGAATCACTGACACACCTATACAAAAAAAAAACAACCTCAATGGAAAACATGGTCAAAAAGACACAAAGGGATATTTCACAGAGAAATACAAATGCCTAAGAAATACAGAAATATATGCTCAATTGAGCGTTGGGGGATGGGGAGCAAAGCCCCGGTTTATAGGATTGGGAGTATAAATATCTCGATCAAAGCTGACTTCAAACTAACAACCTGATGTCACTGAACATGGAGATGCATGCAATCGTCCACTGGTCCCAGCCCATCACTGTCTCAAAGTCATTAGTAGCCAGGGAACTTGATATAACACTTATTATACCTACCAGTCTCATAAAAATTAAAAGTAAAAGCAAACAAAAGGTTGGCAAAGTGTGGGATGAATGGTATTTCTCATTTGCTACTGGTGGGAGTAGAAATTGACTTCAACACTTTCAAACATAATTAGGCATTTCCTTGTAAAGTTGAAGGTACAATTATCCAACCTAGCAATTCTACTGGCAGGTAACCACTACACATGTGGAGGAGGAGATATGTACCAAAATGTTTTTAGCAACAAGAATTATAGTACAAGAATACAGAAGTAGACTGCCCATTGAATGCAGAATGAAGAAATATACTGTAGTATATCTATGCAATGGAGTACAAAGAAGGACTTAAAAGATGTGAACTACAAACTTTGAATAGATGAACTAAAAAGCATAAAATACTGAGTAAAAAAAAGGTTACAATAGTATATATAGTATATTAATATTTATATAAAGTTGATAGACAAATCAAAAATACCATATTTTAAGGGATATATCCATGTATATTTAAAAATTTTGAATTATCAAGAAAATGTCCCCAAAGGGACAAGGGAGGAAATGCAACTGGAGATGGACATTGCGATTCTTCAAAGGTATTTTGCAATATTTTATTTCTTAAGCTAGAGGTCAATTTAAAAAAAAAACTCAAACAAGTAGATAAGAGAAAATTATGATGAATAATAAAAGCATGGCTATAAAAACAATCTGAACTTTTAATATTTTGATAATTCCCAAAATATTTTCATAATCTGGTTAAAATTACACAAAACAGTCACATCTCTTTTTTTCAGAGTGTGAATTCTGGATCAAAAATGAACATGTATGTGATAGTTGTAACTGTTAATACTTTCTCAGTATGACTTCCTCTACCCTTGTGATGTCATAAAAGGAAGATGGGAACTTCAGCCTTCTTATGGAACTGATTTAAGTAAATACATGTGAGAAATATGCTAGGGACTCTCAAGAGCTAAATAAAAAAATCTTTAGAGTTTTTCCTAAATATTGCTTTTCTAAAACTAGTTTTAGGGCTGGGGATTCAGCTCAGTGTCACTGTGCCTGCCTTGCAAGCATAGGATCCTGAGTTTGATCCCCGAAACCAAAAAAACAACCCCCCCCCAAAAAAACACAAATAAAACTAGTTTTATTCTCACTTGGTATATTTGCAGAATTTCATTCTTTTATATGCTTTATCAAATATTCATAAGTTATTGAGATTCACTTTATGTTCTCTTAAAAGCTGACTGGTTTAGATCCACTCACATTTATAACTGAACAACCTGATGAAGTTAGAAGTTAGCTATTTCAATTTATCCATTTTCCTATCTTAATTCACTGAATTAAGAATATATGTCTACTATAGTTTTGGAAGCTAGTCAATGAATATAGTATGTACAATAAAAAAATCACATAATAAATAAAATAATTTGTATAAAGAAAACTTTGCATTGTCTTCTGAACAGCATTCAGTATTTGGCTACTGAAATTGAGAACCCTCTACTAGAGCCTAATTTAGTACACCCTACATTAAGAAAAAATTCGGACTTGGTTTCTTCCTATTAATTATTTTGACCCTTGTGCAAAAATTCTTCTTTAACTGCTCTAATCAAAGAATAAAACACACTCCTTCTTCCAGCCCTACAAGACAAGTCAGCAAGTTCAGAAATACAAGGAGAAAACCAATGTAATCAATGTTAAATAGTTATAGGACTTAGTGCCTGAACTGGACAATAGTTGACCACCAATGACCCAATGAATTTGGGGCACCCAGCTTTTTGCTCCCACAGCTCTCTAGATCAAGGCAGGATCACAACCTTCACTTTACCCTCCTCGTGACACATCTCCTATCACTGAACAGAAGACAAACACTGACCTAGTTTAGAAGTGCAGATGAAAAGAAAATGAAAACAGAATACATGACAACGGGCAAGGAAACCATGGTAACAAGGAGAGAAGACTGTTTTGCTTACTTTATTTTGGTCAGAATAATCAGCAAGCTGAGCCTTCAGCTCTGAAATCTCGCCCTCTAACAGACGGATCACTTCTTCGTAGTCCATTTCCATTCCGTGTGCCTGCCTCTGTGCGGCTTCAGCAAGATGAATCCGAGTTCGCAGAGCTCTTGTTTCTTCAACGACAGCTTTGGCTTCCTAAGTAGTTTGACATTAATGCCATTGAAAGAAACACACACATATACACACACAAATAGTTTAGTGGTCTACGCAAAATGTTATACTCGCAAAACAGCATGCACATGTTCATTTCTCCACTTGGAAATTAATCTTCATTTCATTTTAATATGTGGACTAGCTGCCTGATCTTGCTTTTTTTCTTTGTTAATTTCTTAGAAATACTTTAGTATGGCATCTCTAACTTCATGCACCCAAAATCTGGAAAATAAGGTAAGTTGGAGAGACTTCAAAACAGAAAATAGACTAGAAGTGGTTCAAAAGAGAAGAAGAGTAGGCTACGACAAAACTCAAGTTGGTGGCAGGGCTCAGGTTCCAGATCCCAAGAGCTTTGTAATGTTGTGGGGCTACTTTGTGGACCAAACCCCAGGGGCCAAAGCTTGTTCCTAGTTATATCTATTATTTCTCCCTCTTGGTTTAAGCCCCCAAAAAGGTGGACTCCAGTAGCAAAATATGTATCTAAATCTGTAGGAACCAATGTTCATAAGACAGTTATTAAATGCATGCTATGTCTGAAGTGCTTCATCTATCTTATCCAAAAAACATTGAGAAAGGCATTATTAAGAACTTGTACATAAGCAGAGGCTCAGAGAAGGTATATAACCTACTCAAGGACACATGACCATAGTAGTACCTGAATGTGGACCCAGGTCTGCTTGTCTTCAACATGAATGTTCTTTTTCACCATTTTATCCTGCCTTTAAAAGACAAAATAAAAATACCCTGTGTACTAGCTATACTTTCCACCTTAGCAAGAGGTTGGAGTGGCCAAAACCGCTTGCTCTCCCCAAATGTACTTCCTTGCTGGGTGTGGTAGCCCACACCTATAATCCCAGCACTGGCAGGCAGGCTGAGGCAGGAGAATCGCTGTGAGTCTGGGGCCAGCCTGGGCTATATAGTGAGTTCAAGACCTGCCTGAAATGCAGAACGAGACCCTGTCTCCAAAAAAAAAAAAAAAAAAAAATCAAAATGTAACTTGTTGCTGAGTCAAAGATAATCTCCTAGGATACCACTATAATTTAATATGGGAGTTATACTATATTTTTTTTCTTTACTTGATGCAAAAATATCTCTTCTCTGCAATGAAACTTTCTGCTCCAATTGCTATAGCTAATATTAAACTATAGCTATTTTAATTTTCTTAGAGTTGTTATAGGGCACTTGCTTTTGTTTGAGCTTAAATATATTTGATGGACCAAGAGGGTTAGGAGAATGGACATGTTCTTTATTTTTTTAGGTTATATATTTCTATATCAATTTTTTTTAATTTTCTGAAAAAATGAAAATAATTTATAACAAAATAATGAGAAAAACAATAGTTAAAACAATGTGTATCAGTATCTGCAAAGTATTACTCAGAGTATAAGACACAGACAGTAAACATTCTCTCTTACAGAGAAGAAACTGATAGTAGCACAAAACTTTCTTCTCAATGAACTAAGATAAGAGAAAGTGGTAGTGTAAGGGAAACAAATTGGCATATATATTGAAATATTTTTTTAAATGGAGTAGGCAACTTGGAGAATTATTTGAGCTTTTCCATACTTTCTATTTATCTGCCTTCCATTTTGCTCTTTATTCATAAATACAGTTTCTGATATAAGAGAAATCATGAATGAATGTTGGATTTTGTCAGAGACATTTTCTGTATCGAGATGATCATGTGATTTTTGTCGTTGCTTTATGTGATGAATAACATTCATTGATTTGCATGTGTTGAACTATCTTTGCACCCCTGTGATGAAGCATATTTGGTCATGGTGTATGATCTTTTTGATGATTTGCTGCATTGTTTGCCAGTATGATGTTAAGAATTTTTGCATCTATGTTCATTACAGAGCTTGGCTTGTAGTTGTCTTTTTTGGTTGGATCTTCATTTGATTTAGGGATCAGGATAATGTTAGGATGATTCTAAGGATGATTCTGAAAGTACTCCTTCCCTCTCCATTTCATTAAAGAGTTTGAGGAGTATTAGTGTCAGGTCTTCCCTCAAGTTCTTGTAGACTTTTTTGTACAACGTGTGAATTTGGATTGTCTTTGTTTTTCGAGGACTTTGTGATGTATCAATAGGTTATTTATTTGGGCTCATTCTGTTTTTCTGATGTGGGCATTCACAGCTATAAATTTCCCTGATAGGTCCACTTTCATCATTCTGTCCTGTAAGTTCTGGTACGTTGTACTGGCATATCATTTAATTTTAGGAATTGTCTTATTTTTCCTTAATTTCCTATGACCCACCATTGTTCAAAAATGTGTTGTTTAGGGCCAGGGATTTAGCTCAGTGGCACTGCAGCTGCCTCTCAAGTGCAAGGTCCTGAGTTTGATTCCTGGTACCAAAAAAAAGAAAAAAGTGTTTAATTTCCATATGTTTGCATAATTTCTCCAGTTTCTTTTGCTGATTTTTAAAAGGCAAAAGATTTATATAATCCAAAGAGAAACCAGAGTATTGGTATTTATTTTTAGCTTTATGCACTGTGATCTGATTAATGCATGGCAAAATTTTGATTCTTTTGCATTTACTTAGGCATGCTGTTAGGTAGTATATGGTTTATTTTGGAGAAAGTTCCATGTGCTGTAGAAAATAATGTTTATTCTGTTGTTGGGTGGAATACTATGTGTATAACTATTAAGTCCATTTGTCCAAAGGTTTGATTCAACTGATGTTTCTGTTTAGTCTATCTATTTACGATAGTGGGGTATCAGTATAATTATATTGATGTTACTTGAACTTTTATATCTACTAGTGTTTGTTTTATGTAGTTGGGTGCATCATGGTTTGGTGCACATATGTTCATAATTCTTCTGTTGAATGGTTCTGTTAACCAATATGTAATGTCTTTCTTTGTCTCTTGATCAGTTTTGGCTTGAGGTCCACTTTGTCTGAAAACAAGATAGCTACTCCTGCTTGTTTCTGTTGCAGGGACTATTTTTTTCCATTCTTTAGTTTTTAGTCTATAAATTTCTTTTTGTGTTAAATGTGTTTCTTGTATAGAGCATACTGTTAGATTTTGTTTTTTGACCCATTCTGATAATCTGTGTCTCTTGATTGGCAAATTGAACTCATTTACATTGGTGCAGTAGTCATAATTGATAGATATTAACTTACTCCTGTCATTGTATTATTTTTAGTTGCTGTTTTGGTTTCTTTCTCTTCTACATAACTGCTACCCCTAGCTGATGCATTGATTGTATTGGACCTTTTGGCCCTGTTAGCTTTATTGCCTCCTTCTATAGGATATCCTTGAGACTTTTTTGTAGTGTTGGTTTGGTAGTCATGAATTTCTTTGATTCTTTTTACTACAGAAATAACATTTCGCCATCCGTTTTGAAAGATAATTCTGCAGAATATAACAGTCTGGGATGGAAGTAGTTTTCCTTTAGAGTTTGAAACACTTCATTCTAAGATCTGCTGGTCTATAATATTTGTGTTGAGAAGTCTGTTGTAATTCTGATGGGTTTCCCTTTATAGGTGATTCATTGCTTTTCTCTAGCAGTCCTTTAAGATTCTGTTCTTGTGCTGGATTTGTGGTTTTTTAAATTATTAAATGATGTGGAGTTTGTTTTTTTTTTTCCAGATCATAGCTCTTTAGAGTTTTACATACATCACTTATCTGTATGCCAAATTCTTTTTCCACATCTGGAAAGTTTTTTCTATTACTTCTGTAAAAATTTTTATGCCATTTGTGTTGTTTTCTAATTTGTCATTAATTCCAGCTACCCTTATATTAGTCTTCTTTGAGTCATCTAGAAACTGTTGGACTGATTTTTCATGTTGTTTTGAAGGTATCTTTCATTAACTGATCATTGACTGAAGCCTTGGCCTTTAGATCTGACAGTCTGTCTTCACACTGGTCACTTCTACTGCCCATACTTTCAAGTATATTTTTAATCTGGATTTGTGTTTGGAACTTTTTTTTAATGAATCCTCATTCTTTTCTGTGCTGGGCACTCGTGTTTTGTATCTCTTTCTTTAGTTCTACTAGATTTTTATTAGTGTCTTCTCTAGATTTGCTGATCATTTGCATTATTAGGGTTATTATCTGATTAGTTTTATTTTCTTTAAATGCACAAAGCACCTCACAAAATTGTTTCACCTCCACTGATACTCTTTCAGATCCTCCTGCTGTGTGGCTTATGATTTCCTCCGTTGTGATGTCCCCTGAACCAGTTTTGGTATAGTTGGGAGTTTTTGGAGGCATTTTGCTGCCTTGTCTTCCCATGTTTCTAATTTTTTGTTTTTGCACTGGGATTTTCAGCTTATTTGGCCCAGTTCCCAGTTCTTCAGGAGTGAGCTGAAGTATTGTTTATGACCTCTAGCCAATCCAGATACTGGTATACAAAGAAAACCAACTTAGAGCAACAACTGTTACCTTGGGTATAGTAGTAAAATCAGAGATAATGGCATCAAATATCAACTGAATACTGACAAACCCTAAGAACCACTCACAAACTCCCCTTAACCAGAGAAAAGAGGTCTGTGATTTTAGTGAAGATACTTAAGCCATTCAAATATTGACCTATATTAACTCAGGCTAATTTCTGCTGGATGTACGCAACAGTCCATGAGCTGAAGCATACCGCTAGACTGAGTGCCCATCTTTATGTCCACCCCCTCTGAAGATTATACCCACCAAATCTGGTTTTTCTCCACAGTATAAAGGCCCCATGATCCTCCTGGCCTGAGCCTAAGCCTTCCAGAGGATTCCAAGAAATCTCTGTTTAGCTCTCGCCCTCTCCAACCCTGTCTCCCCAGACTGTCTCTCACAGTCTCGGTGTCTCTGTGGTAGGGTAGCAACACTTCGGTCCTGGAGCTAAACTCTCCTCCTGGGTGTTGGTCTCATCTTCAGTCAGGTCTGTCTTTGGGCTGTCCCTTCTGCTGGCCTGTGCTATGGAGAATGTAGAGGCAGAGCTGGCTAGGATTTGGTAGTTTGGCCGCTGTCCTCTTGCCTCCTGTGTGCATTGCACAGGGCCTGGGCCTGGTGATGGCAGCAGGGGATGTAGGGCATGCAAGGCCTCCCTCCTGCCTCCTGCATGGGTTGTGTAGGTCCTGGGGCTGGTGGTGTCGTTGGCAGGGGTGTGGCATGCAATTCCTCTATGTCTCTGGCTCCGGGGTGGGTTGGGTAGGGCCTGAAGCCAGAGGCTGCATCAGTAGGGGTAGGACATGCAGTTCCTTTCAGTTTCTGCCTCCTTCACAGATTGCATGGGGCCTCCATGGACATGTTCTTAGGAGTCAGTTTTTCAATCAAACATTTACTATTTTTATTAAGTACTTTTTATACATCAGGTTCTGGGATAGACACTGAACAGTGCAGACAGAAAGCCCTTCCTTTTAAGACCTCGCAATATGATCTCTTGTTTGCAGAGACAGACAGGAGATTAGGGATTACCAGTGAAGACCTCACCAAGGAGACATCCGGTCAGACACACAGAAAAGGGACAGAGCCATGATTTTCCAAGAAGGAACTTTCTGACCAAAAAGAACTGTTTGTGCAAAGGCCCTCAGATAAGACTGTTTTTCGTCTTCAGAGAACAGCAAAAAGGCCACTGGAGCAGAGGTACCAACTAGTATGTGAGATGGGGGCAAAGTGACAATAGGAGTGAGTGTGGGGATAGGACTGGAGTGGAGTGGCAGGTCTGAAAGGAATTAAGAGCCCATTATACGGGGCTTGGTTTAGTCTGGGTGCGATGGGAAGTGATGGCAGGGTTTTGAGCAAAGGAGTGATGTGACCTGACTGACACTCTAGGAGGAATATGTTCACTGATAAAGAATGCAGGGCTGGAAGCAGAAAGAAGAAGAATGGGACAGGCAAAATTCACCGCAGTTCAGAAAAGTGTGATTGTAGTAGAGATGGTGTGGAGTAGCTAGATTCTAAATATCATTTGGAAGTATAGCTAAAAGCTTAGGTCGTCGGTAACATTTATTTAGCAGCTACTGCATCAGACAATTGTGTTATGTGGTGAAAATATAAAAAGGTAAACTATAGCTACCTTTTTCTAGCTCAGGTTAGAACATTAGATACGATTCACATAAATGGAGGAAGAAAGGCACAACAAAGCAACAAAAACAAATCCTATAATGTGGAGAAAAGAAGAGAGGCAAGAAGGAATATGGCGCATTTGAGAAATAATGTTAGATGGGTTTTGATTGCTAAGAAGCTTCTTAAAGGGGGATAATGGATTTTTTATAAAAGGGCTGGGAGAGGAAGGGAAAAGGCCAGGTTCGATAGAAATGGTATGACAGGCAATGGAGCTTGCGTCTGGGGAAGTCTTCTGAGCAGACAATGACATTAGAAAGTGCTTTAAAAAGCTAAAACTGGCAGTGCATTACAGGATGGGGAGAGCAAGCCCACCAGTTGCCTTGTGTACCTTTCATCCAAAGAATATTATTCCCTTCTATCTGAAAGTAACTGACGTAACAACGGAAGGATGCTTTTCAGAAGAAGTATCTGAGAAAAGGAGGGTACCTATCAAGGCCCCCACATCTGTTAGTTCAGTTCAGGTGATCAAGGAAGTCACAGTGTCGCAGGTGGGTCACCTTCACACCAGACTGTTTCTGCGCACACAGGAGGCAATGGCTTAATGTGACAGCCCTGTTCTAGATGTCTTACGTGTCAACGCAGCTAATCTGTACACCGTGATGTGAGGCGTGTCTATTATTATCCTCATTTTATAGATAGGACACTAAAGCACAGAAAGGTTAAGTAACTTGCTCAGAATCACAAACCCAGTAAGTGACAGTGCTGGGATCTGAACCCACGCAGTCCAGTCACAAAGTTCCCATTCCTGGTTAGCATGCCTACTACCTTGCCAACTCTAGAAAGTGTTTTTCAAACAATCACTTGTAGGTGACAGTATCAGGAACACCAGCCCTGCATTAGTTTAGGAGGTGGCCAACACAATAGACAAACACATTTGAGGTTGATGCATTGCTCCCATTTTCCATTCAATAAAATCTTTTTTTTAAAAAAAAGCCTCTGAAGTGAAAGAGGAAGGGCAGAAAGTTCACCATGGCTGCAATGAAGAATAACTAATTTGATGATTTGTTTCCCTCACACTCACTTCATGAAGCATTTATTCTTCTATAAAAGCTGCCCTTTTATTTTTTGCTCAAAGAATTCTAGGTAATTAAATGAAGAACCTGCATGAAATTTATAAGGCCATTATTGTGCAATGATGATAATACAGTGTGAAAAGATGGGTGGGAAAAGGTGCAGGGGTTTTGATGCTGAATAAATTCATGGTATTTCTTCTGTAAACGTGTAACTGTCCGACTGGTGAATGTGACCCCTCAGCAAAGTCCTAGCCCAATTCCCACTGAATGGTTGTTGAAAAGATTAGCGCACTGAAATGACGACTCTTAGAGGGAGCAGTAAAGAAAAGACAACAACAGCGTGCTGGATTTAGCAGTACAGGATCACATCAATCCATTTTCTCTTTTCCTCCCAAGGCTGTCTTCTCATAAATAACTGCAAAGCCTCCTAGGTCAGTAACTCTGAGTCAGAATTTTCCCAGTACCTGCCAGTACCAAATACATGTACCTGAAATCCCAATCAGGACACATGTTGCAGGCAATTTACTGATTACTTTGTATCAGGTATGGTTTAATTCAAATTAGAAATTTTGAAAATAAAAGAAAAACTAAGATATAAAAAAGTACATTTTAAAAAAGCAACATAAGCACTATGACTTCTAATACTAACTAGCATGAGCAAATGTAATTGAGAAGAATCCTGATTATGAAATAAAATGTCTGACTTAAATTTCTTTTTGGTAATACTGAGGAAATGCCTTCAGCTCACGTAAAATGAGGTTTACCTATCTCATGTCTTGATGAATCTTTAAGGAAGATCACATCAAATTCTTCTTTGAAAAGATAATTCAATCTAATGAAAATCTTTGTAGGGTACAAATACTGTACTTGAGTCTTAGTTCTATAATTATATTGGGGTTAAGGATAGATTGTGTGTGTGTGTGTGTGTGTGTGTGTGTGTGTGTGTTTCTGTTTTCAATATACAGCTTCCCCCCACACACACAACACAAAGTGATCTAGAATTTAAAAACATGGGGTTTGGGTACATCTCAGTGGTAGAATGTTTGCTTAGAATAAAAAAAACATAGATTTTTGGATGAGACTTATCTAGGTCACTAACTTGGATCTGTGATGCCACAACCACATTTTCTGGCTGTATAATTCATTATGACTCATTCTGTTCACGTATATAATGGGAAATAACATCTGTCTTATAAGCTCAAAAACAACTCATACAAGAGGGTTAAAGAAACTATTACAGTCCTTGCAACAGTTATTTCCCCCCTCTTTCTTCTTTACTACTTTGGAAAAATATGCATAATCACCTAGGAGATAAGAAAGTCTGATTAGATAATTTATTAAGGGTTTTCCTGAGGCATTCAATTACTAATACTGTCGCTTGAACTTCAGAGAAGTTGTTTGAAAATGTAATTTGCACATATCTTCTGTAATGTTAGCACAAAATTATGTAAAACCCTTTCCTCTCTAGTTATAAGTTATAACGGCTCCCTAAAGTAGAAGGAAAAAGCATGAACTGCAGTTGCACATTTGTAATTAGGCTAGCACTTCCGCATCACTAACCTTAGGTTCTGTAATTTTTAGGCTAATCAGTAAATCTCTTAAATGTCAATGGCTGACAGGAGAAACTGGGAGATTGAAAAGAGATATATGTTTCAGTGTAATGTAACTTATGCTACCAAGCCCTAAAGAATACTTCTCTTATCAGCTTCCAACATCCACTCATTGGAAAAACCTTTCTTGGTCCTGGTCCTGATACAGCTTGTGAAAAAGATTAAGGGCTACTGTAGGAAGAAGGTTGTTGAATGAGAAGTGTTTAAAAATAAGTTCCATTTAGCTTCCTTAACTTATATATCTGGTTTATAAAAATATATGTATCTCTCAAACAATGGTCTCAAAGAGCTTTGCAGATGTATTTATGAGCGAATGAATTTACACCTCATCCCTTAAGCATGGATGCATTTGGGGGAAGAGTTTGAATCCACAGAACTTCTTACACACTTCTGATATGCATTCTCTCCTTTCTCTCTCCTCACTCTCCCACCATGCATACATCTTGCTCACTACTCCACCTCCTTCCCTAACCAGTTATTAAGCACTATAAAGTCTTCATCTAGGATATAATTTGGAGCCATTCGTAATTTCCATTCTTACCATTACATTACTGATTCATGCCTTAACTACTCACACTTGGATACCATGAGAATTGCATAAGTGATCACCCAGCCTACTGTGTTCTTTACTGTATTCTGCATGCTTCTGAAGGACTGAATTTCCTAAAATAAACTGCTCAAGTTCCACTTTAGGTAACAAACCTAAGTATATGGTACATGACAAATGGTACATAAAATATATCCTCAATTGTCTATACTCAGGGTACCCCATTACCTGTTCCAAATCAACCTTCTCAGCTCTATTCAGCTCTTACATGAGTACCATATCCAACTGCAATAACTTACTATTATTTCTCAGACTAAACTCTCTTAACTTCTTTTGGTCACCTTATTCTATTAGGTATACTCCTTTCTCTTCATCCAGTTCCCAACTGTTCCACAAAATCTGCCTCATTTCACCTTCTCTATTCTTTCCAGACAGACCACTTTGGTGTAAATAATCTTTCCTTTCTTTTGGTCTTTTGTAATTATCTGTTGTCTGTAATTGAACACATACTACTTCGTATCTCCTGTTCTACAGTCATTAAAATATTTATTGCCTAACTTTTTAATATCAAAGGGTCTTGACTGCTCAAATTAGAACACAAGCTGTCTGAGAATAAAAACTAGGCACTCCACTTAGCCTAAAAATGAGACATAATTGAATTGACAAACTGTGAAAATGATTATTACATTTCTTCTATATAATAATTGCCTCAGAGAATTTATTAGGCAAGAAGCTTTCATAAGAAATTCCTTTATAGAAGATTTCAATTTATGAGAATATTAGAATTATACTTCATTTAAATAATTATAATAGTAACCATAAATCATGCTATGAGAAACACCATATAATGAAAAGCAAATTATGTTATTATACTGTCGTTAGATATAAATTTGAAAAATCCTTTTATGGCATTTATCAGGAAGATGAAATTATATAATACTAAGTGAAATAAAGCAAATACCAATGTTGAAAATGGACAGAGAGTTATACTTGTTTGATAAATTTATTTCTTGTCTTATTGATTAAATATCTAATATTTTAACATGCATATTAGCTTATATTTCCTTAAGAATTATGATTTTCCAACATAAAATTAACATAGTACATGCTCTCAAGGACTACATAGTCTTGAAGGTCCTGTCCAGTCTTACCTATTCCTTGATTTCACACTTTATCAATACCTCTGTGACAAAGACTGTAATAATGATAGGTATTCTGTGATCTCAAGAAACAGATTTCTTTAGTCTGTGTGAAAAAACAAAATCTTCACTTTGTAAAGGAATATCTGGTTTAGTTTTCTGGAGGAAAAAAGCAGGTCAATCAAATTACAATTAACTCTAATTAACC